AAGGCCAATAATAATGTTTTGAGAGCTGTGAATGCTCATTTTACCGTAAGACCACTTAATTCATGTTCCAATGTATTTGATTTTCATTTTCAATGTAGGAGTGTGAAGTTTGTGAACTATGGTTTATATAATGAATATGGTTTTATTAATGTATTCAGCACTTTCTCTGTGGCCAGCACTGTGATGTTTTGATAAGAGAATAAAGACATATGTAAAACAACTACCTAACGATGCAGGCTCTATTATCAACACCCCCTTTTACAAATGAGTCCACAGCTGATGAATTTTCCCTAGCTCCCTAGTAAAAGGTTAACACCCAGCCCTAATTAATTTGGTTCAGTGGTAAGGGCGTCAGCTGTAGAACATGTTGTCATGGGTTCAATTCTGATCAAGGGTCCACAACTGGGTCCCCAAGTGGGGGCAGAGGCAACCAAATGATGGGTCTCTCTCACATTAATGTCTCTCTTCCTCCCTCCCTTCCACTCTCTAAAAAAATAATAATCAATGAAAAAAATATCCTCAGGTGAGAAATAACAAAATAATAAAATAAAAGGTAACACCAACCAAGATTCAAATCCTGGTCTGGCCCATAGCCCTGTACTTTTAACCACGAAGCTTCATAAAGTAATTTGTTCTTGTTGTGTGTTAGCATTAATCAAACATTAGCGAGAAAACTCTGTTAGCTTACTTTTTATTTATATTCACTTCCAGTACTCCCCATTTTCATTTCTTTTTGCTTATCTCTCCCTACTCCCACCAGAACATCTGGAAGTATCTATTTACCAAATCATATGACAGTCTTCACCGGAGTTTGTCAAATTATAGAGATAACACAAAACTGCTGCTCTGTTACTAATCAATGTGCGATAGACAGGCTGCCTCAGTGGCGAGTTCAAGCAAGTAGCAGTCAAGGAACCCAGCTGAGCCCAGTGATTATAAAAATGCAACATGGTTTTTAAAGTCATTAACAGCAATATCCTAAAGGCCCAGCAGATGTCAACCTCAATTCGTGAACATAGGACATTTCCCCCCTTTTAACACTTCCTTCTTCCTATGATGAAACTCAAGGGGTTCAGAACTTTGAAAATTCCTGGGATTCTGAATTTGATGTAGGAATTTTCCATTGTACTGTACACATACATGTTTTTCCAACATAAAAAGAAAAGTGTAACAGTGAGGTGTAAATCACCACCAAAAATGAAAAAGAAGAGTTAAAATACACAAATTCCATTTTGCCTCTCAGGACTCTGGCAGGATGAGACTATTTCTGACTCTTGACCCATTTATTTTCTACCTGTTCCACACTTTCCCCTATACCTCTCCTCCCTCTTTACATATCAAAACTCTCCGTTTAACTGACATAAGTGAATCAATTCTATGATCTCACATGGAGCATAAGATCTAAATTTTGGAGATCAATATTAAATAAATTAAAAAACAATTTTTCTTTATCCTTAAACAATGCTGTCCATGGTATCTATCCCAATAACAACCATACCCATCAAAAGCCTAAACTAGCCGAAGCCGGTTTGGCTCAGTGGTAGAGCGTCAGTCTGCGGACTGAAAGGTCCCAGTTCGATTCTAGGCAAGGGCACGTACATTGGTTGCGGGCACATCCCTGGTAGGGAGTGTGCAAGAGGCAGCTGGTCGATGTTTCTCTCTCATCATCATTTCTAGCTCTCTATCTCTCTCCCTTCCTCTCTGTAAAAAATCAATAAAATATATTTTTTTAAAAAGCCTAAACTAAACTTGAAAATAAGTTCCCATTTACAAAACTGTTGAAGATAATAAATTTTATTATTCATTTAGATCTGAACAAAAACGCCCAATACTCTGTATGGCTATTCCAAGGTAGTTAGTAAGCAAAAACAAAATTAAAAGAAGAAAAGGAACACTAGAGATTTTTCTCTGGTAGTTTTATGTGTATCAAATCTGTGGGAGTTCAATGATCATCCAAGAATAGTATTTCATTTCCTTGACCATTACTCCATTGCCCATATCTTAACCTCACTGAATTTTTGGTCCATTGCGTAGAAGAATTTCTCTACTAATAAAAATACAACACATTAAAGATTAACTTGCCCCCAGGACACTCTCTCTGGAAACAAATTCCAAGCATTACAATCGCCGATTTGCACTATGCAGACTTAAAAGCAGGTAATCTTACTTATCCTGATTTAAACTGAAAAATGGCAAATCCAAATTCACAATAACCAGAAACCCAACCAAATGCAGACTTTACTTACTTGGCACTTTTCAAGTGAAAAGTGCTACTTTGGTATCTATTTTATTTCTACAATTACGAAATTGCAAAATTCTTTTGGGCCCTTTATTTAGGTATAAAATATATGTCAGAAATTGTGATTGGCACTAGAAATATTTTGAATCTATATTGTAATATCTGTTAATAATAATAATAATAATAATAAACTCCTGATATATATATTAAGTTATCATTTACTAAACAGTGTGACAAGTTTTAGCTTATTGAACATGATCTCTTTTAATTCTTAAAGTCCTAAGGGTAAGGTATTAATTTCAGTCCCATTTTACAGATGAGCAGACTGAAATATAAGGCCTGGGAATTGTCCCAATTCCCCACAGGGATTTATTTGAGCCTTGGTCTGTGTGATTCCAGCGCCTACACATACTATAACCACCTGGTATAAAGCAGCAAGGCACATGATTATGTTTGGTTCCGAAAAGTAGTCTTGTTCTTTCAAACATGGTGCTTCTATGTAATTTGACACTAGGAGCCATGCATCACAAAACGCCTTGAGACACTATACACTGGTTCCATTGTCAAACATGTTTAAAACTTACTTTCTTCGATGGCTTAATCACTTACTGGTAATTTTGGAAAGTTAAAGCACTATAGTAGTTCAATCATTCAAGAATTCTTTGGAGTTAAAATGTGAATATTTTATTATATATTGGCTGGTGAAGAAATCTGAATATTTTATTACATACTGGCTGGTTAACTGTGTTAAGATTTTCTGTAAAAAATAATAATAATAATAAAGTATCTCTGCAAAGCAGGATTAATCCATCTTATGGCAGAATACCAGTAGCTACAAAGGGGAGAGCCTTCAAACTAAAAATTTTTTAAAGCCTCACCTATATTTCATCTTATTCTAAATGAAAATGTATTGTTTCAAAAAAGAAATCCACTTCTAAAGCTCGGGTTATGCTTGAGGGCTTCCTGGAAGCTAGCACCGCTGTGGTTATTTGTAGGTGCACAGGTAAAAACAGGTAAGGAAGACGTAGTATTATCAGAAGATCCACCATCACTCCGGATTCATGTAGAAAGCAAACTGGAAACTTGTTGAACGGGCGGGTATGTGGCCTATCAGTTACATCCAAACAATCACACAACAATATTTTTTTCTGAATAAATGTACCACTTAGTTTTATAACCAGAAACTAGGTCAAAAAAATCATTAAAGGAACGAAATAACTAAAATGGGTTATCGAAATGCCACTGGGGCTTTCATTTCCAGATCTACTTTCCAATAGTCTTACTTGAATAGTTCATCGCCGTAGTAACTCTCCTAAAAAGTCACATAATTTAAGGAGGGGGGAAAAGAGAGGAAGAGAGAGAGAGACATGACAAGCACTAGGGATGTTTATCAATAAAAATAAGCAGCAAGGGAGATGAATCTGTAGCTCATCCAAAACGCCTGCCAAACACTCCTGCTATTTGTTTCCACCGAGTTATTGTTTTGGAAAACATGTTGTTCTCTCTTAAAATAACCTGCTTCAATGTTCTAAAAAGCCACTGCATTTCCAGGGGCTAAATAGCTCCCATATTGCGATGCATGGACTGATAAAGTCAAAGTAAGTTATGCATAAAGCCACACAAAAAATAAAGTTGGAAGGCTCCGATGCTCCCTTGTTATAAGGACACTAGCTACCGAATGAAGGCACTCCTCACCCTTAGCGAAACTAACGCCTGGTCTTTTATGACAGTCATTCAAAACACCCTATTACTCCAGGTGAAGGAACTAAGCCACATCCGTGGCTGCAGTCAGGCCAGGAATTACCATTTTAAGGGCAAAAAAATGACCTTGGACCTTGGACATTTCAGCAATCACTCTTTGAGAACTCCGATCCTCCCCATGAAAACACTGAATGCGTTTCCAGTCCAATACGGTGAAAGCTGGGATACCTGGGAAAGTACCACAGAAACTAGGGAGTTAAAAAAAAAAAAAAATCCCAAGTTGTGAAAGGCATAGTCAGACACTCCAGAGTACAGGAAAAAATTTTTATGAACTTCGTGTAACTCAAGATGCGTTTTATAAGCTGTCAGGAGATGAACACACACTGTCCTCCAACCCAGCAGCACGCCCCCCCCCCCCTCCCGGACACAGTCCCCAGCTCTGGATGCTCACCCCCCCCATCCCGGGCCCTCTTCTTACTCCCTCCAGGGTGGAGGATGGGGAGGGGGCGGGAACTCCTGTCTTAAGCCTTGACATCTGCAGAGAGTTTTCCAATAGCCAGAGCAGGCCCCTCAGCTGGAGGAAGTGGATACTGACAAGAGGAAAGAGAAACATGCAGAGACAGAGCTTGGTTGCTTCAAAGCTGCCAGCGAGTGGGGAGAGAAACACACACACACACACACACACACACACACACACACACACACACACGGTCTGGCGGTGTGAGCGGGTCCGGGTGGCACAGCCCAGGTGTCCGGGCTCACGCGGGCATCTCCAAAGCGCACTGGCGGCTGGGGCGCGCCGGTACCCACCCGGCCTTGGGCTTCGGGGTTCCCCGCGCCTGAGACACCCGAGAGGCGCGGGAGGGTGGGGATCCCGCTAGATCTCCGCTCCCTGGGTGTCTCCAGGCTCCGCGGGGAAGGGGACCGGGAACTAAGTGGGCTGCGGGCCGGCCGGGGAGGCGGGCGCTGGGGCGCGCGGCGGGGATGTCCGGGAAGGACTCGGGGGCGCACACGGGGGGTCCGAGGAGAACGCGGGGGGGAGGGAGGGAAGGATGCCCACCTTGTAACATGGCCTCAAGTTTCTTCCTGTCCACGCGGAAGCGCTCCTCGCTCCACTCCGGGCTGTGCAGGGGCGCCCCGGCGACGAGGTCGTCCTCGGAGCCGGGCACGGGCGAGTCGGTGCTGCGCTCGCTGTTGGAGCCCGGGTCCGACTGCGCCGCCAGGTAGCCGGGCTCGCCCTGGGCGGCCATGGTGGGCGCGCGGCGCTCGGGCTCGGGCTGCGGCCGCCGCTGTGCTCGCCGGCCGGGCCGGTGTGGCTCCCCGCGCCGCGGCGCTACCTCGTCCGCCCGCAGCCGCCGGCGCCGCCGCCGCGGAGTCCCCGGCGCATCCCAGCCCCGGGCACCGCCCACGCCGCCCGCCCGCCGCCCCGCGCCCCGGCCGCCGTCCCGGCCAGTGGCTGCGCCGCCCCCGCCAGCAGCGCCCGCGCCGAGTGAGCGCGCCGCCGCCCGCGCCTCCTCCAGCCGCGGCCCGGCCCCCGCCGCCGCGCGCTCATTGGCCGGCCCGGCCCACGGGGCGGGCCCTGCGCGGGGACTCGCTCCGCACACTCGCTCCCCACGAACCAACGACCACTTTTCTGCACTTAAACGTCTAGGTCTGGTCCCCCACACACACACTTTCATAGTTCCTTCCATCACAGACACGCTCCAGGGTCAAGCACAGCTCCCCCCAGAAATGCACATGAAATGCACATGCAATTTCCATTCTACTTCACACAACAGGCTGCACGCTACAACCCAAACCCCAGTCCATCCCACAAGTGGAAGCAGGAGGGAGAGAAGAGAAGGCGTGCGGAAGGAGCAGTGTCCCTCTCTCCAGGAGACATCACTGCGGTCGTTGCTTCCAGGCAGTGCGTTCCGCCACTGAGGGCGCAAAATCAGAGCACTCCTCTCATCCAGCAAAGGGGCCAGTTGCACAGGAGGTGACAGGAGGCTTCCTCTTTTTATTGCGAGCAAAGGGATTGTTTTCTTGAATAAGGACGCAGTCATTTTCGATGTGATTCCCAAGGAATGGATTCAGCTGATTACAAAAAAATAAAAATAAAAATAAAAAATAAAAAAGGCAGAGGGGAGAGAGAGGGCAGGAAGGGAGGAGGGAGGGTTCTGAGATTGCAATGGTGGTTAGCTGGACCCCAGAGGGGTCTCTTCTCTGTTCTCAAGATCAGTGTCTCATAGATGATAACCAGAAATGAACCTCTGACCCTACCTGCCCTGGCCAGCCCACCCACTGCTACTCTCAAACTTGGAGTTGAAGCACCAGAAAGAAGAAACTTGTTTGCACTAGGAATGCCCTTGGAACTCCCTAGTTCATACTGATTCATACCCTCTTTTGTGACCAAAACCACGACGATTTTACTTTTATTGAAGGGAGAGATGAGTTAGTAGTTTTTCCCATAGGGGGGAAGCTAACACACGTGAGGGGCAAGCCATCTCATTGGCGAGGGCGCATGGACAGTCACGTACTCTGCCTGAGGTTATCCAGGAGTCTCACAGGTTCAGTTGCCCAGTTAACTATTGACTCTGGCTGTGCACTCTGAGTCTGGTGTCACTGACAGAGGAGAAAACTAGAACTATAGAAAGTCAAAAGACATGACTAAGGTCACACAGCAACAGATAACAAGACAAGAATCAACCTCAGGTGTGTGTTTTTCACACCTGGTCTTCACAAAACCCTGCCTTGTTGAGCAGAGAAGCCTCCTGTGTGCTCCCCTGCTGAAGACCAGGTGTGGGAAGTACAAGTAAACTGCTTGGTTCACCGCCATATGTTCTGAACTCATTAATTACTGCGCAAAGCACTAATTCAGGCACCAAAAGAAGTTATCAAGGAGCCTTGCTTGCATCAGGGATATTCACCGTCTTTTCTGGCAATAAATATTTTACTGTGTTAGGCCCAAAGAATGGTGACCAAAAGCAAACTTCATTCCTGAAGCTGGCATTCTAGTGAGAAATATAGAATGTTGAGCAAAAATAAATAACTCACTCAAAATATTAAATTGCACCTGTATTAAGCATTACACATAAGAGACTCCAGATATGATAAATCTTACAATGGAGTAATTGGATTAGCCTCAGAGAGGTCAGTGGAGGCTTCTCAAAGACAGTGACTCTGGAGCTGAAAATGGAAGTTTGCAGAGAAATTAACCAGGCAAGAGCCAGGCCGGTGTGGCTCTGTGGTTGAGCATCGACCTATGAATCAAGAGATCATGGTTTGATTCCCAGTTAGGGCACATGCCCAGGTGGCAAGATGGATCCCTAGTGGGGTTGGGGGTGGAGGGTGCAGGAGACAGCCAATCCATAATTCTCTCTCATCATTGATGTTTCTATCTCTTCCTTCCTCTCTAAAAAAAAAATATATATATATATATATTTTTTTAAAAGAAATTAACTAGGCAAGAATGGGGTAGAGCCTTTCCTGGCAAATGATCATTCAATCATGACATCCCTACAATTATCCTTGTTTCTCAGTTGAGGAAAGGGAGACATGGAAGCTAAAATAACTTACCGGTACCCAAGGTTGCACAACCAACTATGTTGTAAAATTTGGACTAGAACTCAAGCAGTCTTCCTTGAAAATTAGATTTCAGGTGCTCTGTACTTAGCCACTAATCCACATTGGCTCTCAATGGGATGGCATAAGCGAAGATGCTATAGTTGAAGGAGGCAGTATGCATTCTACTATGGAGAAACTAAAAGAAGAGCACCATAGCTGGTCCAAGAAAACAAACAATTAGATGGTGCTAACTAAGGCAGGAAAAATAAGTAAGGAGCAGATCATGTAAGCCCTGTAAGCCAAGTTAAGGAATTTTTATCTGAATCCTTAGAAGGAAGCCACGTAGAGGCTTTAAATAAAGGATGATGTACTCAGATTTGTGTTTATTTTAAATGACTGTGGCTGCAGTATAGAAAACAGGTGAGGGACAAGGACAGAAGTAGTTGAATCAATTAAGAGACTATTTGGGTCATTTATAGAATAGATGTTGCTACTAGCTTACCTAGAGTGGTAAAAATGGAGAAAAATGAAGGACGAGAAATATTTTTATGGAAAATATTACCAACTAGACTGGTGATGGGTTCGGAATGGAGTGACTCTTAGGTCCTGGCTAACACAATTGTAGAGAGATCGGTACCATTAACTGAAATAGGAAACACTGGGAGAGGGCTTACTACGTTGGAGGAAAGATGAACTTGAGTTAGAACATACTGGGATTGAAGTGCTATTCATACCCCCAAGGAGATATGTCAAGTAAGCAGTTGGATATATGGGTCTGGAGTTGAGTAAAAGAGATCTTGGCTGGAGATTCAAATGTGTTGTTTGTAGGTGGTCATTCTAGCCATATGCATGGGTAGGACTGTCTAGGAAAATAAACAAGAAAAAAAGAGAGCCAATTTGGCTCAATGGATAGAGTGTCAGCCTGCGGACTCAAGGGTCCTGGGTTCGATTTCGGTCAAGGACATGTACCTTGGTTGCGGGCACACGCCCAGTGGGGAGTGTGCAGGAGGCAGCTAAGTGATGTTCCTCTCTCATTGATGTTTCTAGCTTTCTATCTCTTTCTCTTTCTCTCTGTATTATTAAAAAAATCAATAAAATATATTTTGAAGAAGAAGAAGAAGAAGAAGAAGAAGAAGAAGAAGAAGAAGAAGCAGAAGCAGAAGAAAAGAGAATCAAGGAAAGAATCTTTCACAAATTCTAACAGTAGATAGCAGTATAATGGGAAAGGAGATAGAGGGAGTTAGTAAGAGAAAAACAAAACAAAGGTTTGTTATATATACCCAAGGGGTGGGGCGGGGGAAGAGACTATTTCTAAAAGGAAAGTATGATCATTGTTTTACAATAAGGGAGGACAAAACATTTTGATGGCGGTCACTGGGATCTTAGCCAGAAAGCCAAAACAGAGTGGTGAAAGACTGAATATAGCTAACAAAATAAGGAATAAAGACAACAATTTGGGAAAAGTTTGCCTGGGAAGGGGAAAAGAGAGCAATAGCTGGAGGATAATATGGGTAGAGGAAGAGCTCCAATGCTAAGCTTCTTGTGTGCAGGCACAGAAAAAATGTAAGAGTCCTGCCAAGTAGAGGAAACACCAGGAGCTAGAAGGCAATGGAGCAGTGCCTGATGGAAAACAATTTCCAACACAGAAGTATATATCCAGCACAACTATCAAGCATGAAGACAAATTCATCCCAAGGAATGGGAGGTCTCAAAAAAGATTATTTCCTTATATTCTCCCTGAGCCAGCTACTGAAGACTGTGTGCCACCAAAACAAGAGAGTAAATCATAATGAAGAGAAAAATATGGAACATAGGGGGAAAAAAAAAACAAAAAAAAAACAGGCAAAGGGGTTCCTCAGGATGATGGTGAAAGGAGAACAAAAATTGGAATAGGTCAGAAGTCTCAGGACAGAGATTTCTTCTAGATTAAATAGACTTCTTCAAAAGTAAAAAATATATTCAAAAGAGATTAAGACCGTTGGTGGAGACTTTAGGGTTGAATTCATGGTTTGTTCATAGAAAACTATGGTACAAAAAATAAAGCCAATTAATAATTCCAAGTACATATAACAAAATATTATGCAGCAAAGTTAAAGTAGAATATGCTACATGGCTGAGCTATGATTAATCTTTATGTAGTTGTGATCATGTAAACCATGAATGCTGATCAAAACTAAGTTTTTAATATAACTAGATTAGGAATCTGGGGAATTGTAAAGTGTGCAAGTCGGTCTTGGGGGGAGGCAGTGGTGAAAAAGTGACATTGCATCTGCTTTAGGGTAACATCCATAGATAATGACTAAAACTGCTTAAAAATCAAGGAGTGGAAATATAGGCATGTTATTTGGAAATATGGAAGTAAAAATAGAATCAAGCTAAAAGTGTTGGAAGTGTTTGCCTGAGGAAAATGGAAAATGGGGAAGGCGTATGGTGCTTCTGGTTGTTATACAAGGCTTCTGGAACAATTTGATTCTTTCAGCCACATTGCTACATAACTTTTAGAAAAGTATAGGAACAGATCAGATGTCAATGATAGATGATAGATAGATAAATTTTAGTCTTCTCAAAAAGAAAAATCATTTGGAAAATTTTAAATAACTAAGATCACATGAAATCGTTAGATTCACAAAATGTGAAAATCCATGAGATTTACAAAAACAAGAAATGAGTGTTGTCTTGCATTTACTTTAGAAATCCATGTCTA